TTCTGAAAAACCGCTGAAATTCCCAATAAAGTAAACACCCACCATTAGGAATGTACTTTACTGGTCCTGCTCAGTCCGAAGCCTTTGTAACTACTTTACAGTAGTCCCTTCACTCCCAAGTAACTCCGATATGATGTGACAGAGGTTTTTTTCCTCTCACAAGTAGCAGATATCGCAAATAGCAGTACTGTGCCTGCTTGCGATCGGTATTTTGGCGAGTCTTTTTTTCAAGAGAAGTTGATGAGTCCAACCGACGATTTTGGGCGGTTTCGCAGAATAGGGTTCTGGGATTGTTTTTCTAGAATTAATAATGTCGAATCACGAAGATCCGTTTTGTGGTATGAGTGTAGAGCTCCCAGAACAACTTAAGTTTTGGGATAATTCCGGTGAGGTTTCGTTAATGTCCAAAACAACGTGGACCAGATGGAGCTCGAAGTCGACTATCCGAAAGCAGCAGCGTTTGATTGAATGGTAATTAAGATTAATATCTCTACAGTCGAATTGAATAATGTTCAATGGAGAGTCGTCCGTAGTGTGGGCTATTCCTTTATGACTAGTGGTCAAATTTTCTAAATGCTGACTAGATATAATTGAGCAGAAGTCCATTTCTGGGCGGAGTTTCACAAAGGTGGGCGGCCGTATCCCCAGTGGTCTCAATCTTTGTGAAACCCCGCCTCTATGCTGGTACGTGATCGTTTTGACTTCGAGGCTTCCCCATTTCCTAAGAATCTTTTTTAGTGACATGTTTACTTCTTATTTTGCTACCTGAACACTTTTGTATTCAAGGGCTACCATTGGGAACTCAACCCACTACAGGAACAGATATCCCTTCCTTCTTAGAAGATTACTAGCGGACCAGGGCGACCCAAGCTTATCCATCTTCTTTAATGTAAGCGTCATTTCCTATTCATCATCAACCTCGTTCTACGTCTCTAAGGATTCTCCCTATTCCTAATGAGTGCGTCGAAATGCGATGCGTTCATATCTCAATCAAGAAACAATAGATAAATAACTGAATACCTCTTGCCTCGAGTTGAGTCCACTTCCTTTTGCAAGAAAAACATTTCTACTTTGTACAAATCGTTGGACTACCCTACACCAGAAATTTAAAAAAAAAACTTTCAAATTTTATTCTCCGTGATCTTCATCCACCACTACCACTGTAATTTACTGAAGGGTTGAAAAAGCAACTTTTTTATGGGGATCTTTGCTTTTGTTGCGGATGGTATAAAGTATCAATGTTTGCCTGAAGGCAGGATCCTGTAGAAATGAGCCGATCGGAATAGAATGGTAGTCCGAACGGTTTTTTGTTTGCTGGAAACTTGAAAATGCGATATCGTCGGAGAATCGAACACATGATGGGATAATTGCTGAGGGCCGCTGAATATGGATGGCATACCGATTGATTCGCAACATGTTCAGAGCACGCTCGCCATTCAGTACACCTATAGGTAAGATACTCAGAGGTTACCTGTAGCATAATTTACTGCTTTACTTACTGTCTAACTTGTAGTAGGTGCAATAAACGAGTTTAACTTACCTATTCTGCAACCTAAGCTTTTTTAGCATTAAAGTGGGCGACCATTCACAAAATCGAGTATTTCCTATGCATCCGGTCCTTACCGTAGACATACTCGATTTCTCTGTTGCTTTTAATTGTTCATAGTAAACTAGTAGTATCGATATTTCAAGCTCAGAGACTAATCAGAATTATAAGAAAGCTCATTCATCGCATAAGGTTCTTAGATTACTGCTCAAAATACGTCCTACTTTACTACTACTTCTCTGGGAGGCAGCGTTGAACAGGGACGGAGTTACTGTAACAAACTGCAATGATTAATCTACAACTTGTCCCTTGAATATGACCTCTGAGAACATTCCCTCTCGAAAGTGTGACCTTGGCGGACATGTTAACTTGAGACCAACCCGTAAATTCTACCAGTACATCCAGTACATGTGAAGCTTTCTAGATACTATTATGTTATAGGATCATATTCGATTGTATAAGCAGATTACAGTTAGAATTCACAAGGGTAAAGGGGTCCAACGAAGACCTGATTTTTGAGAAATTTTGAGATTCTTAATCCAAAAATTATATGGTACCTGTTGAAGAAAGAGCTCGTAGCCATCACCGAACATCTCTCAAACCACGCTGCTCAGTGAAGGAGGGCAGTTAGGGAGCGTGTTCTGCTACGGTATGGACTCTCTCGCTTGAGAGCACTCTCTATCGTGCACATGCTGTGCTTGCGTGCTCATATTTTTAAGTATTATTAGGTGAACACCAGAGAATAGCCAAGCTTATCTCCAGAGATATAGACAATATGTTTCACTATTTAAAGAGAAGAAAACCCCTCGAGAAATTCACTTGATGCAAAAATTCAAAAATCCTATATTGTCTGACTACTCGCCACCTACTTCAAGGAATTTTATTTGCCCCTTAAGCTCTTGCGTTCCTTCAACCTTTTCCGGTTTTTGGTTTTTGGTTTTGTGGTTTTTTGCCGAGGGAGACGGGGGTTAGGAACGATTTTGGGTAATCGATTCGCCGCCCGCGGCTGTCGCGGACCACTCATTCGCCGTTGTTACGGCTTTAGCGTTCTTCATACAGCTCAATCGATATGCGATCATTATTTTATGCGATCATAATTCTACTATTGTGCTTTTGTTCTTGTATTTCTTACCCACTGCTACATCCTGCAACATTCCTTTGCGCGCGACGTCCCTCTCACCGCGACGCGACAATTCGTTCCTACTGCACCACACCCTTTTGCCGATCCTCAATCAAGAATGAGCCATTTTTAGGATACCCTTATCGATATAAATGCTACAATAGGACTCTTCTCAGTGGTGTGAAACCATAATCAGCTTGTTTGTGGATTCATGAAAAAAGGCCCAGTTTTCAACAAGCCCCTCTTAACCCTAGGAACCCATGTCGCTACTGAGTGTTCTAAAACTTCTCTCGATCAGGCAGTGTTATTCTCTCATTCAGGTTTTTTCAATAAACAAAGTATTAAAGTTAGAAAAGGAGGAAA